TCATTTCTACTTCAGGTTTCATTTTGTAGCAGATTATCTTCATTTTGATATGCAATTGGACATATTTTTCAGATCATTATCAAATTTTAAAAATTAGAATTTTCTGAATTGTTTCTAAAATGCATAAATAATAGGGAAAAAATATTGCCCAAATAAAAACTGATTTGGAGATTTTGAAATCTAAGGGCCAAAATTGTACATATTGTGCTACAATTTCTGAATTATTTATAGAAGTTTTGGTGTTACAACAGGAAAACTAGGAATACACTTTATAGATTATTTATGAAGTCAACTCCAATGACAAATCAAGTTACCTAGAAATGTTTAAGGGTTTAGGGAAAGTTTGCATAATATGTATTAAACACTACACACTTAAGAATGTACTTTTACCTATATTCTTTTCTTTGTGTTTTTTGTTATTATTTTTTTAATGATGCTTTTGAAATTACTGACAATACATTTTTAAAAAGAAGAAAATAAATATTGGTTATACAAACATTTTCATGGAATGCACTTTTACATGAATATTCATTTCTTAAACTGGGTAAATTTTGAGATAAAATATCACCATAGAATATACTTAGGTAAAATGTGGACAAATCCATAAAGTGATGGTCTGCAGAGAACAGTATTCTCTTGAGCTATTTTCTTCCTTTCAATAATTGTCATTTTGGTAGGAATAGTTTGAATGTTTTATGATGAAAAACTAGCCAGAATATGATGAAGAAATCATAAGCCTTATAACTTTAAGAAAGAAAAAGTAGCCAAAAGAAAAATTACTCTTTTACAGAGTGAAAGGAAAAGACAAAAACCAGAAATACACTAATGATAAGATAAAGAAAATGAGAGTTAAAAACAAGGGGTATTCTATGTAGGTTCAGTTTTGCCTATAGTCTTCCTATGAAGTCTTCAGAAACCATATTTAGAGGTTTCTTCTTGGTCATCACCAGCAATATATTATTCAGTTGGGAAATACATTCACCTATACATACATAAAAGAAATGAGGACAAAAGAAAAACATATATCAAATTAACTAAAAGCAAACTTGATTCTAAATCCGAAAAATATTCTCAAAGTTTGAGAGTAGCTCAAACATTTATTAGGCTCTCTAAAAATAGGAGGTTGACTTGATCTTTTGTATAAATGATTCCACAGGGCCCACACAAGCTATTCTAAAGCTATGCGTGGTGACCATGGAGACACAGGGGAAAGCCTGGGATGTAGAGGCAAGTAAAGCCAGTGTTCAAATTCTCTCCTTGCTTCTTACATCCTCAGGGCATTAGTTTTTCTAAGTGCAGGATGCAGATTAATTAAATAAATCTATCTGTGGTGGTGAACAGTAAATAAAATAACATACACAGAACTGATAATACCAGAACACAGTAGGCAATCAGTAAATATCAATCCCTTCCTCTTGCATATTATGACTCAGGGCATTTAAAAAATATTATTAATTGTACTTCATATAATATATACTTTTAAATTATGTGTGAAAGATTCTCAGTAAATACTGAAAGCCAACAAAATAATGAAAACTTCCCAACTTGAAATATTTTAACTCTTTACAAATGGTCATAGCCACAGAAATTTTGTTAATTTTTTTAAAAACTTGCACTCAGATGCTTATATATTTTTAAGAGGTTGTTTTAACTTAGTAACAATATTGGGGTTATTTACTGGGGTAAATCACTTTATTGTTTTAACTTTAATTTGTGTGTATGCATGTGTGTGTTTGTGTATTTTTAACTAGAACTATCAAAGATATACAGTTAAGAAAACCAAGGTCCAGTAAGGCATAACTAATTGGTGGTAAAGCAAAATGCAACCTGTCCACTATTATACTGAATATCTTTAGTTCCCATAAAAATCATGCGTAGATAAATACTCTGGATAGTCTGCATAAATTCTTGTCACTTAGTTCCAATTTTCCCCTGAAAAATTTTAAGGAGCTGACCCCTAAAATCAAGATCTGAGATAAAAAATATGACTAATGGCAAGACCTAAGCCTTTCTTCTCCAGGCTTTTAGCATTTTTTATAGAAATCCATTTGTGTAAGCACCTGAATTTAATGTGTAGTTGCTTCACACCAGCTGTATTTTTGAGGGATTGGTAAAAGAACCATTTTGGGTTAGATATGAAAAACTTTACACAGCAAATGCATATTTGGAAACCACAAAATGAGCATGCAAATCAATTTATATGCATGGGTGAATGAATACAGATGATATTTTCAAAGTCTAGGCATTCTGATGTAGCATAAGATATCTGTAGAAAAGGATTGGGAAGGAGGTGAATTGCTCAGTTCAGTCACCCATTTACAATTTTCAATGGAAAATTGTATTGTCAGTTTCTATTATGCCTGCACAAATTTAGACAAATTAAAGAGTCAACTAAATAATTACTGATAACATATACGTGTATTAAGTAAAGCAGAAAAGCCTTGTCAATCATTAAGACTTCTCAGATATTTCTAGGATTTCCATTAGGAAGAGGAAACATTACAAGTATAATTCACCCGACTATGAAACTAATTTGGACACACCACTGACCTTTCAGTTATCACTCTAATTTGGGATTGAGAATGGGTGGGGTTGGCGGAGATGTTGTAAATGAAACATTACAAAAATCAATCTGCTGAGAACAGGTCCAATTGAAAAAAATTCTTGGAATTATACAATATTTAAATTCTATAATTCACTATTTTATAATATTCTTTCAGAATATATCATGTAACATTATTAGTACCATATTTTGTCCTAACTATATGAACACTCTGTTTTTATTTCTACAACAGAATGTTCATTCTAGAATAATAATAATAATACAAAGCTTTGGAAGTTCATATTAGGAGTGTGATCTTCTGAAATGGACTATTAGTTTGGCATTTCAAAATTTCACTGAAATCCTTCAAGATGGATAGAGGGTTGCCAACTTTCTTCGTTAATCTGCTCTGGTACTTATATTTATCTTGCAACAACTGAAAAGGATTTTTTTTCTTTACTTCCTCCATGAAAAAACAGTTAAATACCTGAAATTTCCCAATTATTTATTTTTTACATAAATAAGTATATACAATCCTATTATTGTGCATATATGTATATGTGTATATGTACATGTTTGCAATTTGATTATGTTCACAAAACAATATGCTTTTAAAATGTTTCCATCCCAGTTTATAGAGACATACCTTATTCATGTTATATTATGAGGCATTGTTATGAGTCTACCATGGTTTAGTCAGCCAATTACATATAAATTAATATTTCAGTTGATTCCATTTACTTTTTTTCATCATTACAGACAGTGTAACAGTGATTATATATTTGTGAGAATTGTTCAGGTATTTCTGTAATTTAAAAAAATTCCTAGAAGGGTAATTGCTGCTTTAAAAGAAATATACATTTAAAATGGTCATAGCTAGTGTAAAGTTGCTCCTAAAAAGAGTGTAGCAATTTACACTCCAACCAAAGATATGCAAGAGCATTGAGTGCCTGTATTGCCACATCTCTGCCAACACTTGTCTATGATGATGCTCTTTGAAATTCTCAATCTACTAGGCAAGAAATAATACCTTATCTTAATTTATATTGATTTCCTATTGAGATAGAGTTTCTTTTCTTATATTTATTGGCTATGTGTATTTCTTTCTTAAAGAAGTGTTTATTTGTTTTCTTTAAACATTATTCTTAATATTTTGAACTTAATTAAATTTTCTAACATTTATTGAGCTTCTACGACAAGCCAGTCTGCTACATAAACATACACAATAGGAGAATAAATAGGAGTATAACTGCTTCTTTAGGGACTTAGAATTACATGAACAAATAAGATGGAATGTTAAATAATTATGATAAAATGTCTTGAGTGCAATATTAACAAAGGTCTACACAAAGCACTGGCTCTGTAGGAGGGTTAGAGTAGAATTTCAAGGAGAATTTCAGAGATTTTTTAGATGGGTCATGCATGATGCATGGAATTTAACTCAGTAGAGACTGGACAGAAGGCTTTATGTCCAGAAAAACAGCACTAGAAAGGACCCCAAGACATGTAAATGTAATGATTTTTCATAATACAAATAATGACTGGTTTAAGGCACAAGATTTCTGTTGGGAGAAAGCGATAAGGAATGAGACTGGAAAGATCAGGGACATACTTAGAAAAGTGCTTGCCTGCCATTCTTAAAAATGTATGCTTTATCTTAAACCAAAGGAGAAATATTTTTAAAGGATCACTCACTCCAGCAGGAGGGAAAATTGGCTTTGCACAGAGGAATGAGGATTACTGCCTGGAATTAGGAGAAGTAGTAAAAGATTATAACAACAATCTTGATGGGTGAATATGAGAGCCTGAAATAGCATATCAACAGAATCAAGTGAATCAGTCATTGAAAACACATGTTTAGTCCCTTTATTTCCAGCTTCTGGTAAAACTAGATACCCATCTCTATGATAGCATTTATTGCATTGTGCTGAAATCATGCATGTGTCTGCCAGCCTGCTCTACTAGAATGTGACTTCTTCCCTTTTCAATTCTTTGGCCAGTGATTGATCAGAACATAGTATTTCACTAAAAAGAAAAAAAAATGTTAAGTTCCCTGACTCTCCTTGTATTCACAGTTTATACCAAAAACAAGTATTTGCTAATTCATTGCTTTTCCTGCCCATCCTCTATAAGTTTCTAATGACTTAATACAAGCTTTTCATTTAATATGGAAGAATCTTGTGATTAGAGTAATTTGAAATTATGGTGACTTAATTGAGAGTGTGCAATAATCTATTAATTGTAGTTTTTAAATGGATTCTTATGTTTCTCACTCTTTATAGGCATACCACCATACCTGTATATTTCAAAAAGAAAGGTTCATTTTTATTACAACTGATATCATAATAATATCACTAATAACACATATGTTCACCCAACTACAGATCTTCATATACTGTGATTAATAGTGAATTTTATTCATATTTTTGAATTCCTAAATTTTTATACTTATATTTAGGTTTCAAAACCTTCATTTGTGCTGCCAAAGTTTCAGTCTTCAAGGATGCTGAGAACACAGGTAAGCAATTGCCTAAGAGCTAACATTTCATCTCATGTATGCTTCTTAGTAAGGGGTTTTGAATTATGAATGTATTCATGAACGGGCTAAAAACATACAAAAACAGTCAAAGATGGGGTTAGACTTCTGGTTTGTGTAACTGATTATGCTGAGAAACCATGAACATTATAGAGTACCCATAAATAAGTGTTTTTAATGTTGTACGTGGTTGTTGCTTTGATTTTATTTTATTTTGCTTTTAACTCAAAAACTATTTTTCGGCCCTCCCATCTCATTCTTCTTCAGAAAGAATCCATACCAATGCTAAGCCCCTTTCATCCAAAGCTGTATTTCCCAGAGAAACCACAGTGACACAGAATATAAAAGGATTGATATGGGAGAGAAGCCACTTGAATGTGCTGCAGCCAGGCAGCACGGCAGGGATATCACACCTGGTGAAGGTGACTTTAGTTCTGGGAGGATACCCTGAAGAAGGGCAGAATGAAAAAGTGGCAGTGCAAGGTGAGTTGAGGTACAGAGGCAACAGCTGTAACTTGAGCTCAACCACATTCAAGGAAACATGAAACTGGGGTAACCCACTGTGTAAAGAGGACAAGAGCAGCTGGCTCAGGGCAAACACAAGCATGTGGGCAGAGAGCCTGTCCAGAGTGTATCCCAGTCACACCTATGTGCAATGACAGTAAGTTAAGGTAATTGGGGCAGTAATTCACGGACCAAGTGCTCTATAGCAGTGGATACCGTATTTTACTCAGATGCATCTGTGAATTTTAACTTCAGTCTTAAATAGTTTTCCTTTTTGTCTTTTTTTTTTGGCAGAGGGTAGGTTTTCAAGAGAATGGTAATAGGTTCTGGAAACTAGCCTTTGGGAAAGCATTAGAGAATCAAGGTGATAGTGAGTAAAATAAATAAAGCAGCCAGCGATTAGGGGAAGGACGGTGAATGTCAGACCAGTTTCACAGAAGGAGGATCTAAAACATTTTTAGCTCAGTGAAGACAGCACTCTTTTCTTAGGCAGATAAAGATAATTCAAGGGGATATTGACTACATGAATTTTATTTCCACTGAGGACATAACAAGAAGAAATTAATTTATGTCAGCAGAGAAAGGATTTTCATTAAATTTAAGGAAGAAATTCTGCCCAGGAAAAGTTATTAAACACTTAAATAGAATGCTGAAAGAGAGAGAGAGAGAGACAAAGTATGAAATTGCATTAGCTTATACAGACATTTTTCAAACACAGGAAAGATTCTCATAGAAAGAGTGTGTGAAGGATATACAGTGAGTTATTATTTTATTGTAAAAAAGAAGGAATTACAAATTCAGGGCATAACCTCAGGAGTCATGCAGCTTTGGTTTAAATGCCAGCTCTGCAAATTCCTAGGTGAGAATTGAGTAATTAAAAAAAAAAATCTCTGAGCCTCAGTTTTCTTATCTGTCAGATAAGGGAAATATCACCTACTTCATAGGGTTGTGGGAAGATGAAACAAATTGATATGTGTAAAAAGCTAAAATAGTACCTTACACAGAGTATGAGTTTATAAGATTTTGCTGTTGTTGTCATTAGTCAATAAGAAAAAGTACAAAGACATATTTCCAGAACCTATAGATAGAGATAAAAGAAAGATAATACCTTCATATGATTGAATTGCAGAAAATAATATGTTTATCAATATCTTTTTCTTCCTCTTATTCTTCTTTTCAGTTCAATCCTGGGGCTTTAAGTCAAGAAACACACATTCAGTCCCCTCCTCCACTAGCCAGATGTGTGATTCTTCATATTTAAATCATGAGTTCTCAGTGTTCCGGTTGTTTCAGATTCTGCTGGTTCTCTCTCTCTTAATTTACCTTCTCCTCCAACACTCATCTTTCCATAATCATCATGTTTTCTCCTATCTTCTGCTCCTCTCTCTCAATTGTCTCTCTCATTTTCTCAATTACTACACATCTCAGACTTCCCAGCTTCTCTGGGGTCTCATCATCCTTCCAACTTCCATCTTCTATGGATAGAAGACACCCCAGGATTGTATATTTGGTCCCAATACAAATCTTTATTGCCTCTGTTTAGGATGAAACACAGTATTTCCTGTCATACAAACAAAGACTTTGTCCAGGATGAATAACACTTTGGGTCTGGAGGAAGGGGAGGTGCCCATTGTTCTTTATTTCCAATGACCTCTGGGAAAGTGCACAGCTCTCAGCTAACAGTTGGAGATAGTTCCATTCCCAGATAAGGAATTAGTCTAACTTCTAAAGTTCTACCTCTGATCGTACTCTTATGAAGGAAATCAATATAGAAAGTAGAAGAATGAATGATGAAATTCAAGCAAAAGAAAAAAAAAGCACCACTTTAAATGTCATTTGAATCCAAGAAATTTAAATTGTGATAGAAGAAAGCTTTATTATTTCAATTCTAACTTTCTAATCTGAACAAGACTGACACCACAGAAACAATTAATGATGTATAAATTTTAAAAATGTCCATATAATGATAGAAAGTGACCAATGAGGCATGTTCTAAGACATAGAAGGGATTCATTTAAATATTAAAAACAGAAATTCTTATATACTCCCTACTCTGGTAAAAGAGGCTTCAGGGCTATTACTGACCTAAAATAGCTGTTTCAAAATATTCCTGTGTTGGTCTTGACATCTTTTGAACTCATTGAGAGTGTAGTAAATAAGTTTAAACCCCTAGTTTTCTTATGTATGAAAGTTTTAAAGATGTCATTGTTAGTATTACCTGAACTTCTTTCATCTTTTTTGAACATAATTGTGGTTCATTCCCATATAGTTAAATAATAGCTATTACTATTTAATAATAATAAAGTTCCATCTGAGTAAATTGCTCTCGGTAACTGTCAGAGCCATCTTGGAGCAAACTTAAAATAGTTTTATACACAATCTTCAGGAGCAGTTGGGATTTCGTTAATCAATAATATCAAAATGCTAGTTTGCAGACCTCGAAATCTCTAATATGGTGCCTGATCAAAGAAAGTCATTTGTCTTATTATAAGAAGATACTTTTTAGGTTTCTAAGATCTTGTGTAGAAAATCTACGTATATATTACGTAGATTATTTAAAATTATAGAGACATATTTTAATGACATGCTTAACCAATATATATTTTGAAGATTTTTTACATGATTTCTTACAACTTAGAAAAATCCTCCTCTGCTTACATTATGCATTTTTCTTGTATATGTCATATTTATTGTGCATATCTCTGTGTTTATATACTATACACATATACATTAATATATCAAAAGTAAATGTCTCACTATTTTAGAATATTGTAATCTTTTATCATAGAAAATTGGCACAATTTTTTAAATAGGGGTTCATAAATATATCCTCCTACATATTGTGTATTTGGGTCATGAAATATAATATATAACTTCCTATTTTTACAGTGACTTCAGTTGGGTAAATTAAACATTCAGTACCTGAAGCAGCACACAATAATTTTAAATAGATAATTATATTATTTGCTGAAAAAAATCAATTTTGCATTCAAGAGAAAAAGCTTAAACTAAACAGCAGTATCTTCCACAAGGCAGCTATAGTTATATGCTACCATGCCAGCTATTTCTCCAAGGAGAGTCTAGGCACACGTAATTATAGAGAGACATCATTACTTAGAAGAAAAACATGAGTCTTTAATTTCCTTGCCTCTGCTGGACTGGGGCAGTTTATTCTGCTGAATCTAGGAATGTCTAAGTACCATTTAAGCTTAGCTGGTTCCAGTACAAAGCCAGGTATTGTTAGGACACGAAAAACAGTCATTTCTAAGCTGTGATCAGTGTTGCTTCCACTGTGGACTGCCATCCACACAGAATTCATTATGTTTATAATTAAACATAGAAAGCCCCTCCTGGTGTTAGGATACTAGTGAAGCAACTGTTCTTCTTGGCAGCTGCTCTTCTAACTTTTGGACCACCAGAAGCCTCCTGGGAACCAACTGAAGGAAGTGCTATTTGAAGTAGCACTTGTTCCCATTAATGTGGTGTCAGTGTATTTCTTAATTACAGTCCAGACAGTTTTGAGCACAAGTAACTGGACAAGAGACCAGGTCAGCACTTCGGCTTGCCAGGTCAGACTTGTGTTCCTCCCACTTCTTTCCAAAAATAGTTTCTCATATATACCAGAAATAGCATAGAGAATACATCTTTTTAACTCTATGAACAGCTCCTGAGTTAAACTTTAGGCAATATGTTGGGAAGCCAAACTCACTTATCCAAAAAGAGGCACTATATTTTCATTATGTAATTTCAATTAAGTGCCCAGTGTACCATCATCTATATCTTCAGCAGAACCATGTTCTAACTCAGCAATTCTCACTAAGTATCTACTTATGTGACTGGACTAGATCTTTATACTTGTGCTGAATAACCAAGGACTTTGATAGTTTCAATAATTTTCTCTCCCAGATTCTGAAGTGGATGAAAATTTTGTGTTGCTTGTTCTGTGATAACTTTTCATTCAAAAGATCAATAATTTTTTGTAGTGTCCTTCAGATGCAATATATTTTGGCTTTACTTCTAGTTACATTAGAGTAGAACCAACCCATTAGGTATAATATGAATAGAAGATTAACAAAAAAGAAAGTGTTACGGAAACAAAGTGTGATGAATTCTGACAAGCTATTCTGTTTATTATCACAACATAAGGAAATGGCACTAAATTGCAGAGTCCACCATAATCTTGAGTTCTGAAGACTTTACTACAAGTCAACCATTCAAATTAGCACCAAGTGATAACTAGTGAACAAATTCGCAGCATCCATCGCTGTTTGTTAAGTGAAATACACACAATGGACAGAGCTGCCTGCTAGGGCAATGGACACAGGTGGGCTTGAATTTCAGCTGTCATTGAGCTCTGGGACTTTGGCAAGTTAGCTTTCTAATCCACAGTTTTCTCATCTGTAAAATGGGAATTTTACAAAACCTATCAAGTAGGATGTTGTAGGAATAAATAAAAATAGACAAAGCAACTGTACAAT